CGAGCTATTCTCCGAGGAGTACTGCCGAGTGGACTTGGGGGGAACCAAGCGTGAACGCGGCAGGGGAGTGTCAACGGGAGTTGTATGTTGGCCCCGTCCACGCTTGGGCGGAGCCGACATGGTGGTCGGGTGTGAGGGGAGCAGCCGACCTGCAGCAGTGGGCGAGCGGGTCGACGAGGAGGTCGACTTGCACGGTGACCACTGCACGAGCGCCGACTTCGAGGTGGCGCCAACGTCGGGGAGGTCGACTTAAGCATCGACCTGCGGAGGACGTCAACTTGATGACGTCGACTTGGGAAGCCGACTTCGGTGGTCGGCTGATGTGTTGGTCGACCTGCGGGTGGTCGACTAGACCCGGTGGTCGACGAAGGAGGGGCCGGCGTCGAGCAGTCGGGCGTCGAGCAGTCGGTCGTCGAGCAGTCGGGCGTCGAGCGACATGGTCGGCGACCGAGGGGCATGGTCGACCCGGTGAGGTCGACAACGAGGTGGTCGTCGACTTGGGAGGTCGACGGACACGTACGGGAGTTGCTGGTCGATGTGGTTGCCCGGTCGACCAGGTTACCTGGGTGACGAAGTGCTGCGGAGGAGTGCGACGGTCGCCCAGGCGAAGTTGGCGAGACCGACCTCGGTTATGGTATCCCGAGGTCGTCGTGGCAGATCAGAGGCAGCCGTCAGCCCGTGGCTGACGTGGTGTGTGTGCTCTGCAGGTGATGAGGCCCAGCCTACCAATCATCTGCACGCACCTGCAAAGCGGGTGCACTGCTGGCACACCATCGACCTGAGGCATTAGCAAGCTGTCGACTTTGCTCTGCTGGAGCGCGGTCGACCAAGTCGTGTTGGAACGCGGTCGACCATGCTGTGCTGGCAGCTGACCAGCCTGAATGCTAGCTCTGATGTAGTCTTGCATTGCCAACTTCATTGTACCATTGTTGTGATCTTTTCTTAGTGAAACTCTTGCAAAATTGCCCCGTGAACTAGCAAGTAGTGTGAGCACTAGGAAAACGTCTAAGGACCAACGAACGCAGAGATCACACGAGCACACGTGCCTAGCCAGTAGTCTAGCTCCCGTTGTAGTAGTTATCTCCGCAGCACGGACCAAAACCCCCACCACGTTGACGCTGCGTGTACCACTTACGGAGCTGCTGAGGGGGGGGGATGTCCCGAGAACGCTGCTGGTGCTGCTGCTGGTGCAGGCGCTGACCACCACCAGAGCTGCTCCGCTGCGAAGTGCCACCCCGACCATCTCCTCCTCCTCCACCACCGCCTCCTCCACCTCCGCCACCACCGCCGCCTCCGCTACCACCGCTACCGCCTCCGCCGCCTCCACCTCCACTGCTGCCACCGACACCTCCACCCCCGCCACCACTCCCACCGCCACCCCCACTCCCTCCGCCGCCTCCACCGCCACCTCCACCACCCCTGCTAGCTCCACCCGCGCCCTTGCCCCCCTTGCTCTTGCGAGAGCGGCGTCTGCCGCTAGGGGGAGACGCCGCATCTACCGACTCAAGACCAACGAGGTCGGCCGCAGCAGTAGAGGCAACAGAGGGCAAGAGGGGGGAAGGGGAACACCCGTCAAAGATGGGGGTGCGAGGGTCACCACGAGAGGCTCCTACAGCGAATATGCTCTTCTCCGCTGCTAGGAGGGCCTTCTCTATGAGGTCAACAGTAAGAGTGGTGGGACAGACTGAGAGGAAGTGGTCCCTGACTACACGAAGAGAGTCAAGGAGGCGCGTGATTATGTAATAGAGAGTGATGTACATGGGGGGAGGGGTTCTTGGCGAAGAGCTCAGCAGGAAGCGCAGCGTGGTAACGAGTGTCACTAATACGGAGGTGCGTAATGAGGTCAGCGACTGTGGGAAAGGCAGCAAGGTCAGGGAAGAGGTACGGTAGCATGAGGCGGCTCAGTGCAGCAGTGGCAGGGGAGGAGTAGCGCGGAACTACAGCGTCGTACAAGGTCTGAGCACTCTTGTACTGACTAAAGTGTGCGCGCTCAGTGGTAGGCAGGTGGCGACGCACAGCAAGACGTGCAGCAGCATCGCGCGTGGCCCAATGGGAGCGAACAATGGCGTCAGCGTCAGCAGCAGGGGCAGGAGAGGCGCTAGAGGTGAGGTCAAAGAGGGAGAGACCGTCTGCCTTATCGCACTGTAGGAAAAGCTGCAGGTTATCTACCCAAACCTCAAAGTCAATGGCCCTACCCTCAGCGTCAAAAGGGAAAACACTAGGGGTAGCCATGACAGTAGTAGACTAGCAGTACCAACTGTAGGACAGGGGCAGTGCAGTGACAGAAGCGCTGCTCTCACCAGACAGGGCGGTTCGGGCAGCTCAGCAGCACAGCAACACGGCAACACGGCTGCTCGGACGGCTCAGCAGTAACAGCGGCTCCGCGGCACCAGCGGTTCGGCTCCTCAGGCGACTCGGGCGGCTCGGACGGGTCGGGTGGCTCGGGCGGCTCGGGCGGGTCGGGCGGCTCGGGCGGCTCGGGCGACTCGGGCGGGTCGGGCGGCTCGGCCGGCTCAGGCGGTTCGAGCGGCTCGGGCGGCGCGGGCGGCGTGGGCGGCTCGGGCGGAACGGGCGGCTCGGGTGGCGCGGGCGGTGTAGGGCAGCAGGGCCGCTAGTAGGGAGGCGGGGCCGCAAGGTAGGTGGCGGGGCCGCAATGAGAGGGGCGGCGGTGCCGCAGTGAAGGGCGGCGGGACCGCCGTGAAGGGCGGCGGGGCCGCCGTGAAGGGCGGCGGGGCCGCTGAGACGGGCGGCGGGGCCGCAGTGAAGGGCGGCGGGGCCGTAGTGTGAGGCGGCGGGGCCGCAACGAAGGGCGGCAGGGCCGCAATGTGAGGCGGCGGGGCCGCAGTGAAGGGCGGCGGGGCCGCAATGTGAGGCGGCGGGGCTGCAGCGAAGGGCGGCGGGGCCGCTGAGACGGGCGGCGGGGCCGCAGCGAAGGGCGGCGGGGCTGCTGAGATGTGCGGCGGGGCCGCAGCGAAGGGCGACTGGGCCTCAGTGTGAGGCGACGGGGCCGTAGCGAAGGGCGGCGGGGCCGCAATGTGAGGCGGCGGGGCTGCAGCGAAGGGCGGCGGGGCCACTGAGAAGGGCGGCGGGGCCGTAGCGAGAGAGGCGGCGGGGCCGCTGAGACGGGCGGCGGGGCCGCAGCGTAGGGCCGCGGGGCCGCAGCGAAGGGTGGCGGGGCCGCATCGAAGGGTGGCGGGGCCGAATCGACGGGCGGCGAGGCCGCTAGGGTGAAGGGGGGGGGGGGGCGCTAGGGCGGCTCGACGAAGGGAGAGCCCGGAGCGCGACTTGGGCGGAGCGCGCTTCGGGCAGGAAAAAAAAACTCGATGTGGTGGGCCCTAGGCACAGTTCCCACGGGGGAACCTGCTCGATACCATGAGGAAATTATAACGAGAATGATTGACGAAGGAATGAAAGTGATACAAATATGGAACCCTAGGAATGTGTACCCCATATAGGCTACCCCACTATAGCCTACACAACATTCTAATTTGACAAGTACTTAGTGGGACTAGAAAGTAGAAGCAAGAAAGGTAGAGTGCCACGTGACACTAGGAAATCTGAAAAGATAAGGATAAGGATGGGGTTGGGAGTACTGTTCAAAGTGCATCTGTGTGGAGGGGGCTTAGTACAGTCGGTGCCCTTTTCAAGAACACCAGGTAGGCGGGCGGCATGTGCGTGAAACGTGTTCGAGACATTTCGCCACGTTCGCCCTTGTCGCCACGGACAAAAATGTGACTGTAATATGAAATTGCAACGTGAATTGAGTCAAGGGTTTTAATTCCGTAACCAGGTTAACTTCTCTGATGACGGGCAACCGTTGTTGTTTATGAACTGTAGATGTTTTTCTTCCTCAACTTGGTGACTGTACCCTGAAATCGGCACAATGGTCAATTTAGTCACTCACGGGCAAAACGTTCGCGAGTGACTAAATTTCTAATTGTGAGGAGCAAATGTTTTGTGATAGGCTGAGCATCGACTGTAATTATACACCCTGTTTCTCGACCCTCTCACCTTGCGCGATTCGCTGCTACAGTGCGGTCAGGTGCCATAAACCGTATGGCTGAAACCTGCGGGCAAAGCCGCACCAGCTGACGGAGTGGTACTGGGGGCAAAATTTTTCTTTATCGCTGTATACCCTTTTCAACCGCTATGAAACGCTTGGTTAATGTTCTTTACCATGCAGCATCCTAGCTAACCGCTTTCTTGTGAATGTGCTTGTACCGTCGGTGATAAGACCATTTCAAACGTGGTGACGTTCTACAACCAGTGCATGTTCTGCAACCAGATGCTCTGCTAGCGCGAAACAGGGTGTACAACCAAACGAAATCCCAGATGGTTTTTCGTACCGTATCTCTCTCGTGCGCAGATTCTCAGGTCACTCATTTTCCCATTTCTGTTCCAGCGAAACCGAACCGAACTCCAGCAATCGCCGCGGCATGTGCGTGGGCCTTTCAGCTGCCTTCAGTCCCAACAACTAGACCCCTTCGCTTGCCCCTTCATTCCCCTCACTTTCCTTTCCGTAGCTGTAGCTGTACATGTACTATACACGTCACTGCCCCGTCAGGCCACCACGAGCTTGCATATCCCATCTCTCATTCAACCAAAACCCAACTCAGTAACAGCATATGCTGGCCAGATTCCAAAATCCAGAGAGGTGGAAATCATTATGGTGCGTTTTAGAACGATGCGGCGAAGTCCAGAGAGGTGGAAAGCATTTTGGTGCGTTTTAGAGAGATGCAAGCGTGGTGCAGTGTGGTACTAGGAATCGAGCCCGAATCGAGCCAGTACGGACCCGCCTGAAAACCTGATCCAGAATTGCCGTATAGCCTGGCTTTGCCCTGGGTTGTTATGGAGGTAGTCACCAGACAGGAATGGAATATAGTACGATCGGAACCGCAGACGCTAGGATCAATTTCTTCTATCGCGCCGCGATGCTGCCATCACCGCAAGTTTCGCTCGTTCTCGCAATTCGCCGCCCGCTTTCACCGCAATTTCTCTCCATGCCACACGCGAACCAGTCATCCGCTATTCGTAGCGGCGGGACACTCTATAGCGAGTCACTCGCTGCGTCCCTGCTTATAGGCACAGATCCCGAACAAGCAGCGTCCAGTCGGCCAGCTCATGTTGGCATCAGTGACCGCGTCATCGTCGTTCTTCGCGTGCTTGTGGTAACCGCGCACTTACTCTCGCTCGTCGCCGTCGCCAATGCTGCCGTGCCGACATGCGCCAGCCTCGCAGCTCAAGGTACTGAGTCTTGCGACCCCACAAAGAGTTCTCTCGAAAACACCGGCATCGCCGCGGCAACAGTTCCCCGCAGTAACAACAACGCCGCTACTACTTTCGCCATTCCTTAGTAACACCGCGGCATCTCGCCAAACTTTCGCCGACGGCAAAAACTTTTTGAACACCCGGACCAAGCCAAGCATTCCGCCTTTAGTACGCCTCTGACTCACCCCTCTGCTCAACTCTACCCCTCTGCTCAACTCTACCCCTCTGCTCAACTCTGCCCCTCTGCTCAACTCTACCCCTCTGCTCAACTCTACCCCCGTCTAGGCCAGACCTGCTGGACAACTAGCAATTCCCGCCCAGCTCTCCTGCACGACCCACGCCTTCGCACCCCTTTCCCCGCCTATTTGCGCCTCCCTATTCGCCCACTTCGTCTGCCAGATGCGTTTGCCACCTCCTCCCCTTTTCGTTTGTTGAAGATTTGCTCCGCAGGAGTGGCACATGCGTCGTCACATTCCCCCCTCCCCTCCCCCCTCCCCCTCCCTCCCCCCCCACCCCCCCCCCCTTCACTCCCCCTCACGTCATCTCTCCTCCCCTCCCCAACCACCTCCTCTCCTCCCACCTCCTAGCTCCCTCGTTGAACCTCCTGCGCAATGCGGGCTTCGAGGAAGCTTCCACTGCAGCAGACTGGCCCTCGCCCCTGTCGTCCTGGGTGCCGCTCGTCCCCGGCGGCGCAGCAGCGCAGCAAGGGCAGGGCGCGGGGGAGGTACAGGGGGAGGAGCAGGGGGCGGGGCAGGGAGCTGTGGCGGGGGGAGGGGGAGGGGAGGTTCCTCCTGGGGACCCGTCCGTTGCTGCTGAGGGCGGTCGGTTCGTTCGCCTGCAGCCCAGCGACGGCAGTGGCGGGGAGCTTTGGGGAACCGGGGCGAGTGAGAGGGAAGGGGCAGTGTGGCCGGTGCAGGGACTGGGGCAGCTGCTGTGTGTCGTGGAAGGGGTAGAGCAGCCGCAGCAGCAGCAGCAGCCGCAGGGGAAGTTTTCGGTGTATTTCTATGCAAGGGCGCGCGAGTGCATGATGGATGTGTCTGTTGCAGCTGGAGTACGGCCGGTGCGAGCCATGATCGTCGCCGTGCCCCTGCCACCACCACCAGCCACTGCCGGCAGCACTAGCAGCAGCAGCATGGACGAGGGTGAGCTGGGCAGAGCGTTGGCAGCCGCTATGAGCAGCGGAGAGATGGTGGTGCTGCATCAGTGGACCGTCGGCGTTCCCTGCCGCAACAACTCCTTCTCGCTCTCCGGCCTGCTGCCCTGGCGCCAGCACGGGCCCTTCTCCTTCCACCTCCCACCCTCCTCAGCCTCCGCCGCTGCTCTCTCCTTCCCGCCGCAAGGCGTGGCTCTGCACCTCGTGCTGCTCGAGGGCAGTGGGGCGGACAGCGGCGGCACGCCCTCTGGTGGCCCTGTGGAATTGCCTGTTCCCATTGACGTGCCCGTTCCCTTCCCTCCGACCTTGCCTGGGGGTGCGTCCGTGACTGGGGGTGCTTCCGTGCCTGGGGGTGCGACTGTAGGATCAGCAGCAGCGGCGGTGGAAGGTGGGGCGCTGACGTCAGCGGCAGCGGCAGCGGGGAGCATTGATGTGGATCTGATCACGGTGGCTCCCAGAGGCACAGGTGCGCTTTTTAGAATCACTGGTGCGCTTTTTAGAATCACTGATGCGCTTTTTAGAATCACTGGTGCGCTTTTTAGAATCACTGGTGCGCTTTTTAGAATCACTGGTGCGCTTTTTAGAATCACTGATGCGCTTTTTAGAATCACTGGTGCGCTTTTTAGAATCACTGGTGCGCTTTTTAGAATCACTGGTGCGCTTTTTAGAATCACTGGTGCGCTTCTTGAGATCACACGCACTCACTCTACTCACAACAGGTCGGGTGCACTGGCAGCAGGGAGCATAGTGTTGGGCGTTCATTCTGGGAGCCACGCGAAGGTCACACAAGTCGTTAATCCTTGAAGCTCATTCATTTTTTTGATAGTCCGCCTCCTACTCTACTATGCTCATGACTGATTCTCACATTTCTTCCCCCTCCCCCATTTTTTTCCCGCCTCCTCCCAAATTCCAGTGGCCTCCGCTCCTCCATCCTTCTCCTATTCCCCACTAACCTCCTCCTCTCCCCTCCTCACCTCCGGTTCGGCCCGCCTCCTCCCCTCCTCCCTGCGCCTCACCCCTCTCTCTCCGCCCCACCAAGCGGGCCTTGCCCTGCACCCCACGCCCTTCCCCCTCGTCTCCCCCGCCACCCCCACCTCCCCCTGCCGCCCCTACTCCTTCTCCTCCTCCTTCTCCTTCCGCCTCTCCTCCCCCCACCCCGCTGCGCTTGGGGCCGACGGCTTAGCCTTCGTTCTCCTGCCCGACCCGACCGTCGGGCTGCCCGGGCCAAACATGGGATATGGCAGGAGGCCTTACCGGCAGGAGGAGATGTTTGTGGAGTTGGAAGGGGGGGAAGAACAATTGTGTGAGGTGGAGAATGGGGCCGTTACATGCACCACGATTGGTGGCAGCAGCGGTAGTGGCGCCACCCTCAACAGCAGCTTGCCACATCAGCACAGCCTGGCAGTGGAGTTCGACACGTCATCAACCCGTCTGTTTTCGGACCCAACCACTCACCACGTGGGGATAAACGTGGATTACAGCATGACGTCAGCAGGCCATGCGTCTGTGCACCCCGCGGGCATGGCCTCGCTGAGCGGCAACAAGAACGAGACGCTGCATGCATGGGTGGCCTACAACGCCACCTCCTCGCTGCTCTCCGTGCGCCTCTCCTCCTCGCCCGCCATGCCCCCCTCCGCCCTCCTCTCCCTCCCCTTCAACGCCTGCGATCTCTTTCACTCCGCTCCAAAGGAGGACGGCGGGGAGGGGGAGGCCGTGTTGGTGCATGCGGGGTTTGCAGCCGGCACGGGGCTGCTGCCGCTGCACACTCAGACGCACGACATCCTCTCCTGGGCCTTCCAGGTCGACACCCAAGGTGAGTGAGAGAGACAGGAGCCAGGGAAAGGTTTGTGGTAGCCAAGAGTCAAGGTGTGCAGTGCTGGCAGGCAGAGCAGGCTTGAATGGGCGGCAGGCAGAGCAGGCTTGAATGGGCGGCAGGCAGAGCAGGCTTGAATGGGCGGCAGGCAGAGCAGGCTTGAATGGGCGGCAGGCAGAGCAGGCTTGAATGGGCGGCAGGCAGAGCAGGCTTGAATGGGCGGCAGGCAGAGCAGGCTTGAATGGGCGGCAGGCAGAGCAGGCTTGAATGGGCGGCAGGCAGAGCAGGCTGGGCAAGGTGTGTAAAGCCAAGACAGATCTAAGTGTCGAATGAAAGGGTTATGTTATGTGTCATGCATTTTCCGACCATTCATCCTATGATCTCCTCTTCAGCCCCTCCACTGTTGCATGTGCGGCTGACGTCCTCTTTCCTGTCTGCTACCAGCTCTATGTGTTGCCCAGCGCACGGCATCCTCTCCTGGGCCTTTCACGTGGACAACCACAGTGAGATGAAGTGGAAGGAGACGGAGGAGGGGTGGGGCAAGGGGGGAACTGGGGGAAGGGGTTGGTGTGGCGTGTCATATGTTCTCCTACCCGTTTACTCGGCGTCTCAGAAGTAGTGTGCGGTTCTTCTACTTCCAGATCCCTCCGCTCATCTGTGCCCTCCCCCTTCGCCTCAACCTTACTCACTCCTCTATTTGTTTCCTTCTTTTCCCCCAATTCATCCACTCCCCCCTCTCCCAGCGCCGGCGCCTCTCCTCGTGTGGTATCCGCCGTCTCTCTCCTCCCTTATTGCTTCTTATTTCCCCCTTGTTTCCCTCCTCCCCTCCCTCCTCTCCCCCAAACACCCTTCCCCCATTCCAGCGCCGGGGCCTCTCCCCGTGTGGCAGCAGCCATCGCTCGCCTTGCCCTTCCTCACGCCAGCCGCGCCCTTCACTGCCTCGGCCTCTGCTCGCCCCGGCTTCTCCTCGCTGCAACTCACCCCGGGCAACCAGGACCAGGAGACAGGCGCCGCCTTCTTTCCACTCCCCCTGCCCCTGCTCTCGCTCCTCCCCGCCCCTGCCCCTCGCAAGGGGAAGAAGGGTGGAAAGACTGATGTGCTGGTGTGCAAGGCTCGGTCCTTCACCTCGTGGTTTGCTTTTGAGCTCAAGGGAAAAGAGACCAATGGGTTTGGGGTGGTTTTCATGCTAAGTACTCGGCCGGGGGTGGGTCAAGGAGGGGCGGGTATGGGGTATGGGAGGGATGCGCAAGGGAGGAATGCGAATGGGACGTGGGCGGATGGAGGGAGGAGTGTGGCGGTGATGTTTGATGCCTTTAGCGGCATTGACCCTAACTATGCCATTTACAATGATGTGGCAATTCTCTCCGTTCACACTGACTTTAACGTGACACGGCGGCTGGCTTTTTCATCTCAGAAGAGATACACTTCATCCTCGTTATACAGCATGAGGGTGGACTATACGGCTGCCAGTAAGACTCTAGAGGCAGTGACTTATAGAGGAGCTACGAGGATGGGGAGTGTGAAGCTGAGTCTTGACCTGTGCTCTGTGTTCTATGATGGCAATAGCACCACTGAGGGAGTGATTCCGGTGTTTGCTGGGTTCAGCAGTGCCAGCACGCAGGCATGTGTTCAGTCCATCAAAGCGTGGACGTTTCGATTCACAGGTTCGTATGAACGGTTCGGTGAGTGCCATGCGTCTGTGTGTGAATGTGTGCATCTGTGGCTCGAAAGTGTATGTGTTGTGTCCGGGCCATTGAAGCATGTATCTTTTGATTTCTCAGGTGTGTGTGCCTGAATGCATCTGCGCCTGTAGAGCCATGCATCTGTTCATCTTAGTCTGTCTGCACATGCACACTTGCTTTGTTCCCAATGTCCATGTGCCACATTTGTGAGAATATGCTATGTTGGAAAAGAACAGTATGGTACTAAGGGGAAATACAGTTGCAGTCGACATTTGGGTTTGTGCAATTTGTACACACTTTTTTTTTTCAGACGGGCTGCCTAACCGAGCATACCGCATATCACGAATCTCCGGATACACGCTAACATTCTTTTCTTGCGCTGAGCGTTTTTCTCCAACATAGATCATATGCTCGCAATTATAATTCATTATCAGTGACTGATTGTGCCTGCACCACAAAATGCATGCATGCGTTTGAATTGAATCGCTAAGAGGGAACAATGCATCCATGTATTCACTTCACTCAACTAGTGATTCCACTCCAATCATAATGTTTTCATACCCTTCTTGCTCCTCTGTTCAGCCCTTTTCCTCTTTCGTCCATCATCTTCTCCTCCTTGTCTCTCCTTGTCTCTCCTTGTCTCTCCTTGTCTCTCCTTGTCTCTCCTCTCCTCACTTCCCATGCCGCACAGACGTCAACCCATGCACGGCGTGGGACGTGAATCCATGCGGTGCTGGCAGGTGCAGTGCGGTGAGGTCAGCAGCCACAGGCACATACACCAGCACGTGCTCGTGCCCTCTCAGCCAGCCCAGCTACAAGCTCCCCCAAATGCCCGCCTTCCAAACATGCTTCAACGGTAAGCTTGGCTGGTTATAATGGTAAGTCCACGCAGCCATCACCACATAGTGCACAAGGGTATTGACAAGGGTAAATCCTGATTAGAATTTCGTCTCATCAGCTGGAGCTCGTGCCCTCTCATTTCAGCCATTGCAGCTGCAACCCCCTCAAATTCTGCCACATCCAAAACTCCAACGTTCATAACACAGCACAATCAATCAACCAGCACATTGATAATTCCTTCCGCTTTCACCAGCTAAGTGGCTGCACTTTTAACCGTTTCACTCCCCACGTACCATTTCATCGCCTTCCACCCCATTCACTGTAGTACTCTGTATTTTCCTCCCGCTTACCATCTCATCACCCCTATCCTCTCTAAATTCCTCTCCACCTTTTCACTGTCCCTCCAGAGTTCCCCGCATGTCGTCTTAACAGCACTGACACGTGTGCGCCTGGCGTGTGCCTGGAGGGCTATGATGCCTCCTCCTTCTGCCTCTGCCCGCCCTCCTTCTTCCCCCTCCACTACTCTAACCCCCTCAAGCAACCCTGTAACCAAGGTACACTAACCTCTCCCCAACGTTACCCTGTAGCTCAGCTGAATCACGTCAGTCAACTGCTTGAAGTGATCACATGGCCTCTCTAGGTTGGCGATCACCTTACCTGCTTTCTGCCCGCTCATAGCTAGCTTTTAACCTAGACTTCAACCTCGCTTTTAACCTAGCTTTTATCGATTTGATTTCTGTGTTGACTCGAACACACCTGAGGTGAGGAAGATTCTCATCGTTTCCTGTCTTTTGCCTACAACAGCAGCACTTGCTTGTGCACCTGTGCTGCTGAATTGGCATGTGTTCTGATGGTTGCCTGCAACAATAAATGACCCATTTTGCAATGTTGCGAGTGCTGCTGGACTAGCCTCGCAAGCATACTTTGTAACTCTGGTCAGTCGAGAGATCCTTGGTTATTTTTATCTCCTATGTATGCACGCCGGTGCATCGACTGCACAAGAGGGCCTCGTGTGCATTGACTCAGTTTCTTCGACTACTCAATAACCAAGGTAAGTCTCTCTAAGTTCGCGAGGCTAGGATGGGCAAGGTGTATTCTGCTTCTAGTCGCCCATCCTGCCCATCATGTTAACCCTGAGATTTCTTCTTTATACCCCACCTTGTCATCTAGCTCACAGCTAGGCACGTAAAAATTCCACTGATCCCTACCTCCCTCTTGTCTTCACCTAGGGATGAGCAAGGTGTTCGCCCCTACACGAACACTGCCGTTTGCCGAACCGAACACTGTTCGGTTCGGCGAACACTTTGAGCAAAAAATGGTGTTCGCCGTTCGCCTGTGAAGGCGTGTTCGGGCGAACCTCGAACACGTTCGTGTTCGTCGCGGGGCAAATTGCAGCGGCGGCCCGAACACGTTTGAACACTGTTCGGCGAACACTTTAAGCCAAAAAAAAAAAACCTGTTCGGTTTTTTGCTCAACCCTATCTTCACCTTGAGCTTCGCACCCTACATCAGCTAAGAGGCTTGTTCCTAAAAAAAACACATTCTGCACAAAATTGTAAGGCTACTTCTTTCTATGCGCTTCAATTGAGCGCTGCTCTTCCTATGATATCCCTCCCTACTCCCATCGCACACACATTCTCTCCTCTGGGTTCCACCTCTAATCACTATGTTAGGGAGTCCATCACCGTACCATCCTTCTTGTCGCCGCCCACTTTATGCGATTCCCCTCTACCCGCTTTGCTGGAGCCCTTTCTACTCTCCCCCTCCCCCCCGCTCCCCCCACGCCCCTTCGTCTGCCAATGACTGCCTTGGTCCTGTGGGGTGGGGTGGGGCCCATCATCCCGGCTCCGCAGCCTCACTTGCCCTCTGCTCCAAAGCTTTCAGCTCTGGCTTCTTAACCTCCGGCCCCCCTTGCCTATCTCTTCTCTTGCCCTTTCCCCCCATACCCCCCTTTCTGCCTCTCTCCCTTTTCTGTCCTCTGTCCACCAGTGAGTGAGTCTGCTACTCGAGTGCCATTCTTCCCAGCACCCCCTGGTCTCACATGCCCTCTGCTGCTCGACATCTTTGACCTCTCACCTCAAGAGCTGCTGGAGAGCAACAAGGTGAAGCTTGCTGATGAGGTCAGGTGTGCTGATAAAGTCCCCTCACTAACAGATGGGCATGCTGTGGGAAATGAAGGTTAGAGTAGAAATGAATGTTTGGATTGAAAATGGTAGGGGTATACATAGTTGGAGGTTGGGCACTAGTCTAGGGAGCCATTATTGGACCCCAACCAATAAGTTGGGTTGGATGATTATTGGTGGGGTCCAATAATGTTGGCCAAGTTGGGGTTGGGCCAACATTATTGGAGGGAGCCAATAATTCTACCCAACCCAACCTTTTGGGGTCCAATGATTGGACCAAGGTTGGGTTCCAACCTACAAACTGGGTTACCCCGGCTTGTACACCCAAACTCTATTTGGGTGCTTATCTCTAGCCTATTCATGACATGAATGCAGGTTACAAGAGGAGATATATTCTAACACAACCCCTTAACCTGCATAGATGTGGAAAGGCTTGAGAGTAGCAACCCCTGAATCAAGGCGCGCCGGGAGGGGCGAGGCCGATGAGGCGAAGAAGAGCAGAGTGCGCAGGGCGGAGAAGGGCTTTGGTAAAGATATTAGCCAAGTTGGCCTCAGCAGCGATTTTGCGAACGGCAACGAGGCCTTGCTGAACGAGGTCACGAATGAAGAAGTAGCGGAGCTCGATGTGCTTGGAGCGGTCGTGAAAGACGGGGTCCTGGGTGAGGTGGATGGTGCTGGCATTGTCACACCAGAGTGTGGGACAGCGCTGAGGGGCACCAAGCTCGGCGAGAAGAAAGCAGAGCCAACAGGACTCTTGTGCAGCCATGGTGCCAGCATAGAGTTCGGCCTCGCAGGAAGAGAGGGCAACGGCAGATGAGCGAGTAGAACGCCAGCTGATGAGCCCGCTGCCAAGGGTGAAGCCATAGCCTTGCGAGGAGCGGCGGTCCGGTTGGGAGTCTGCCCAGGAGGAGTCGCTGAAGCCAGTGAGAAGGGGAGGGGAGGAGCCACCCAATGTGAGGGCGTGATCCTTGGTGCCTCGAAGGTAGCGGAGAACTCGCTTGGCGGCAGTCTAGCGTTCCTCAGTGTGACGACCGGAGCCGACGAATCGAGCGAGGACGCTGATGGGGTAGGCAAGGTCGGGGCGAGTGCACATCATCGCGTACATCAGCGACCCAACGAGCTCGCCATAGGGGCGGGTGGAGGCGGAGGGGGAGGTGGGAGGTGCTAGTTGGTGACCAAAGGGGAGGGGGGTGGAGACCGGTTTGGCCTGCGCCATCTCGAACTTCTCCAGCACCTGGCTGATGTAGTGGGACTGGGAGAGGGTGATGGTGCGGGCGGATCTGTTGCGGGTGATGGTCATGCCGAGGTAGTTCTGCAGCGGACCAAGGTCCTTGCACTTGAGACGGTCCTGAAGGGACCGCTTCACCTGGTCCATGTCGGTCCTGGAATCAGCAAGCAGGATCATGTCGTCAACGTAGACCGAGATGAAGAAGCGACGAGGGGAGGAGCGGATGAAGAGGCTGGCATCGGAGTGGGAGGCAGAGAAGCCAAGGGACTGGAGAGTGGCAGACAGCCTTGCATGCCATTCTCGTGGTGCCTGCTTCAGACCATAGACTAGGCGACGTAGTTGCCAGACGGTATTGTCGGGAAAAGCAGCGTGAAACCTGGGAGGCCGGCGTAGGAAAATACACTCGTGCAGCTCGCCTTGCAGGAATGCGTCGGAGACGTCCATGGAGTCAATTTCCATGTCGTCTCGCCCGCCAATGTCAAGAAGAGCGCGAAGGGTGGGTGGCTTAACGGTAGGGGCGAATGTGAACCAGTAGTCCTCAGCCCAAGTCTGTGTAAAGCCCTTGGCGACATAGCGGGCCTTGTAGACTGGTTCCTCTCCCGGCAGCTGTTTACTCGGAAGATCCACTTGCCCTCGACAAGGTTAGCGTCAGGAGGGAGGGGGACATCGATGTAAGAGTCATTGCGGATGAATGCCTCACATTCCAGGAAGATGGCAGCTATCCATTTGTGAGCATCGGGGCAGGTGATAGCTTCCTGGAAGGTGGAGGGGACGAAGATGGTGGGAGCGGAGACCGCGGCAAGGACAAGTGCTCCAAGGAAGCCAGGGTAGAGGGGGGTGAGAGAGGAAGTGTGGCGCTGGACCATAGTGAGTTCCTCATGGAGGTCCTCTAGTAGGTTGAGTGAGGGAGGAGGCGGTGTGCCAAGGATGGGATCAAGGGAGCGGGTGTGCATGCGAGGGAGGAGGAAGGGTGAGGAGCGGGCAGTCGCCCTCTACCGTTGCTGCTGCTGGTGCTTCTGAAACCCATGCTGCTGCTGCAGCTGCTGCTCCTCCTGCCGTTGGTGTCCCTGCTGCGGCCCCTGCTGCTGCCCTTGCTGCTGCTGCTGCTGCCCCAGCGGCTGCTACGGCTGCTGTCCTTGCTGCTGCTGCTGGTGCTGTCGGTGGTGCTGCTGCTGCTGGGAAGAAGGGGAGGGAGGGGAGGAGGGGAAGGGGAGGGGGGGGGGCGGCGGAGTGAGCAAGGGATGCAGGTGCAAGAGGATCGTAGATTTCAGCAGAGGAGGTTGGTGGAGGTGGAACAGGGAGAGGTGGAGGGCAGCATGAAGCAAAGCATAGCTCCAAAGGGAAGGAGGAGTGGAGGCGTGAGCGAGGAGGCAACGAGCGATTTTGGTGATTTCGCGGATGTGGCTTTCGGCGACACCATTCTGCTGTGGGGAGTGTGGAAGAGTGTGGGTCTGTTGGATGCCATGGGCGGCGGAGTAGTGGGAGAGGGTGCGGTTGAGGAATTCGCCGCCACCGTCAGAGTGGAGGCGGCCGATGGGACGGTTGAAGTGGGTGTGGCATTGCTCTGCCCAGTGGGTGATCACAGTTGGTGCCTGGTCTTTCGTGTGGAGGAGGAAGATGGAGGAGTAGCGGCTGTGGTCATCTACGAGGACCAGCATGTAGCGATGGCCCTGACGGGAGCGAGTGGGGGAGGGTCCCCATAGATCCATGTGGACCAGGTCAATTGGAGTGGGAGCAAAGGACGGGTGGCTGTGATGGGGAGACTGTTTGAGTTTGTCGTGGATGCAGGAGGGGCATGGAGGGGCAGGAGAGGAAAGGAGGGGAGGGAGAGTGGGAGGGAGACTGTGAAGGAGGCGGGAGGTGATGGCAGAGCGGAGAGCGGCGAAATTGGGGTGGCCGAGGCGGTGGTGTAGCAGAACAGCGGGGTGGGAGAGATGATCGGAGGTGGAGGGGGTTGGAGTGAGTGAGGGTGGGAGAGAGGGAGGTGACTGCTGCTGCTACTGCTTCGGCTGCTGGCGCGGCCCCTGGTGTTGCTCCTGTGGCGACGGCTGCTGCTGCTGCTGGCGCGGCCCCTGGTGCTGCTCCTGTGGCGGCGGCTGCTGCTGCTGGCGCGGCCCCTGGAGCTGCTCCTGCGGCGGCGGCTGCTGCTGCTGCGGCCCCTGCGGCTGCCCCTGCTGAGGCGGCTGTTGCTGCTGCGGCCCCTGCGGTTGCCCCTGCTAAGGCGGCTGTTGCTGTTGCGGCCGCGGATGCCGCCCCTGCTGTGGCTGCGGTGGATGCAGGTGCTGCCGTTGGGGTGGAGGTGAGGTGGGGGGATGGAGAGGGTTAGTGGAGGTGCCAGCACGAGTGGTGACATGGCAAAATGATGGCCAAGGGGTGCGGAGAGTGTAGAGGCGAGTGCGGGGGCAGAGGGGAATGCGAAGGAGGAAACGGCCGGTGGCGGTGTGATAAAGGTCACAGTAGGTGGCATTACCTGGGTAGACGGCAGTGATACCTGAATTTTGGATTTCTCGGTGGGAGAGGAGGTTGTTTCGGAGGGTGGGGATGTGGAGACCAGTTACCTTACCAGAGGGGAAGATTGTGCATGGAAGGGTGGAAAAGTGTGTGCATGGGATGGTGAAACTGCTGTCAGCACCGTGAACCTGAGTGGGAGGAGAGAGGGGTGAGAGTGTACCAGCATCCTTGAGAGCAGTCTCAGTGGCCCCACTATCAAGGACGAAGTCCAGAGTGGGTGGGGAGGAGGAGGGAGACACCGAGTACTGGAAAGTGGTTTCATTAATGGTGGAGGGGTACATAGAAGGAAGAGAAGGGGAAAGCGCAATGTTGCCAAGAAAACTTTCCTGGGTGAGGGGAGAGACACCACTACCAGGAGGAGGTGGGGCACCCCACAGGGGAGCAGGGGAGGTCTGAGCAGCTGTGGCTCCTGTGCCAAAGTTCAGCTGCTGCTGCTGCCAAGGGGGAGTGCTGGGTCCCCACTGGGGTGGGAACCCAGGTCCCTAAGGGGGCTGCTGCTGCTGCTATGGCTGGTGCTGCTGAAACAGCTGCTGCTGTTGCTGCTGTTGCTGCAGAAGATGTTGCTGGTGCAGGTTGAGGAACGGCGTGGGGGGAGCAAGGAGGGGGAGGTGGGCTGGGAGGTAGGCAAGGTTGGCCTGGATGTCAGCAGGGGAGGGACGTGGGGAGATGGTACCCAAGCGGGGAGGTGTGCCGACATTGCCCCGTGCGTACCAGGCATCATCGAGGGCCTTGAAGCAAGTGTTAGGGGGATGGGTGGTTTGACCGCAGGGTGTCCCTGCCCGGGGACCGTAGCGACGGACATAGGTGCAGGGAGGGAGAGTTCCAGGGCGGGGCCCGCGGTTCCCAGAGGGACCGCTCTGACTGGGGGTGCCGTGCTCATCCCCAGTGGAGCCACCACGGCTGCTTGTGCCGCTGCTTCCCTGGCCGCTGCCTCCCTTGCCCCCACCTCCCCCCTTGCCGTTGCTTTTGCCCTGCTTGCGGGGCTGAGTAGCGTTGAGAGAGGAGGAGGAAGGGTGGGAGGAGGTGAGGTTGACCATGGGGGTGCGAAGCTTGACTTCGGTATCAATGATCCACTGTTCAACTGAAGCGAGATCGGCCATGGGATTGGCTTCGGTGAAGGCGTGAAGGCGGGATTCGTAGTCAGGGGTGAGGTTGAAGAGGAGGCGATGGATTTGGAGGGGCTCGGAGAGGCCGGCTTGGCGGGCTTCGAGGCGATCGGCTACCTCGCGCATGCGGCCGACATAGTCTACTGCTCCGTCACACGTGGCGAGGGTAATAGAAAAGTATTCCTGGAAGAGGATTCCCACCGAGTTGATGTCGCGGCGTACGAACATAGCATGGAGTTCTGTCCATATCACCGAGGCGCGGAGTTCCCGGGCCTGAAAGCGGCGCATGAGGGAGTCAGGGAGAGCACTGAGGATGACAGTGCATGCTCGGTTGTCAGCGGCTGACCAGGCGATGAACTTGGAGGTGAAGGTAGCCATATCGTCGGTGTATTTGGCAACGACGGCGAGGTGAGCAGTGCGGCCAGCCACCGCCTGAGCGTAGGCAATAGCTGCTGCATGGTATTCGGCTTTGCGGATCAGGTAAGCACGGCGATGCATAATGAAATCAGCATCTGCGGTGGCCTGGTCGGCGGTGATCCGGAGCTCGGGCTCAAGGGGGGGGTCGCCAGGAGGAGGAGGGAGAGGAGGGGTCTCGCCGGGGTGGTCAGGTTCGGTGGTGGGGAGGGCATGGGGGCGGCGGAGGATGACGTCAAGGACGCGGTAGGGGGGGATCGATGCATCGTTGAGGACTCGGCGGATGCTGCCGACGAACGAGTGCCAGTCAATGGCAGATTTGTCGGCTTCAAGCTGGAGTTTATCAATGGAGGAAATGTCGATGGGAGGGGGAGGGTATGGGGGTGGCCATGAGGGACGGCTGCCGGTGGACCCGCAGTGATCACGGAAGCGTGCAGGTGGAGGCAGCTGGTGGGGCTGCGTGGGTGCGGAGGCGGTGGGGAGGTGTCGACGATGTCGCGGAGCGGCGCGAGGTAGCAGGGCAGCGGCTGGCGAGGCCGCGGTGGACACAGGCGCAGAGGCGGCGATGAGGCCGTGGAGGGGAGCGGCGCGGGCGGCAGCGGCTGGTGAGGCCGCGGTGACGCGGGCGCGGAGGCAGCAACGAGGCCGCGGAGAGGAGCGGTGCGGGTGGCGGCGGCTGGCGAGGCCGCGACGACGCGGGCGCGGAGGCGGCGACGAGGCCGCGGAGGGGAGCGGCGTAGGCGGCACCGGTTGGCAAGGCCGCGGTGACGCAGGCCCGGAGGCGGCGACGGGGCCGCGGAGAGGAGCGGCGCGGGCGGCGGCGGCTGGCGAAGCCGAGATGACGCGGGGGCGGAGGCGACGACGAGGCTGCGGAGGGGAGCGGCGCGGGCGGCGGCGGTTGGCGAGGCCGTGGCGACGCGGGCGCGGAGGCGGCGTAGAGGCCGCGGGGAGGAGCGGCGCGGACGGCGGCGGCTGGCTGAGGCCGCGACAGCGCGAGCGCGGAGGCGGCGACGAGACCGCGGAGGGGAGCGGCGCGGGCGGCGGCGGCTGGTGAGGCCGCGACGGCGCGGGCGCGGAGGCGGCGACGAGGCCGTGAGGGGGGGGGGGAGCGTCGCGGGAGGCGGCGGCTGGGGAGGCCGCGGCGACGGTAGGCGCGGAGGCGGGGATGAGGCCGCGGAAAGAGGAGGGCACTAAGGGGGGGAAAGGGGGAAGACGGCGGAGGAGCCGGAAAAAAAAATGTGAAGGCCGGGGGTTGCGGCGGCCGGGTGGGCCTTTGGAACGAGAGGAGGCCTAGGATAGTGAGCTCTATACCATGTGGGAAATGAAGGTTAGAGTAGAAATGAATGTTTGGATTGAAAATGGTAGGGGTATACATAGTTGGGGGTTGGGCACTAGTTTAGGGAGCCATTATTGGACCCCAACCAATAAGTTGGGTTGGGTGATTATTGGTGGGGTCCAATAATGTTGGCCAAGTTGGGGTTGGGCCAACATTATTGGAGGGAGCCAATAATTCTACCCAACCCAACCTTTTGGGGTCCAATAATTGGACCAAGGTTGGGTTCCAACCTACAAACTGGGTTACCCGGGCTTGTACACCCAAACTCTATTTGGGTGCTTATCTCTAGCCTATTCATGACATGTATGCAGGTTACAAGAGGAGATATATTCTAACCCATGCGAGTCGAGTTTTTACCCAACTCGAGTTCCTACCTGACCAGAAACTTTGAGTTACATAGTTGTTTTTTTCCCAATAAAACTCGACCATGTTGAGTACAAGTGTTGATCACGTGTATCTAAACAACAAAAGCACAGGAAAAAAACAAAAGGCCAATCTGGTCATGTTTTCTTTACTCAACATCGGTAGCTGGGTTTGCTGCTGATGGCAAGTGCTGGCAGAGACTTACACTATTGCCCCTTCAACAATCACCAGAAAATTCAGTCGGTGTGATATTGCGCTGTTCTCTTTCATGGTGCCTTGCCTTGACAGCGCATGGCATGTGACAAGCCCATACCTCGTGGGTGGATAGTCAACGTGTCGGCATCTGCCAACAAGAGCTGCACCAGCATGTATACCGCCAACCAGGTGAGGCACGAATTGGTGCTTCTGGTAAGCCCTTTCACAAACATATGCACCACCAACCAGGGGAGACATGTGCACCACCAACCTGGTGAGACATGTGCACCACCAACCTGGTGAGACATGTGCACCACCAACCTGGTGAGACATGTGCACCACCAACCTGGTGAGACATGTGCACCACCAACCAGGTGAGACATGTGCACCACCAACCTGGTGAGACATGTGCACCACCAACCTGGTGAGACATGTGCACCACTAACCTGGTGAGACATGTGCACCACCAACCTGGTGAGACATATGCACCACCAACCTGGTGAGACATATGCACCACCAACCTGGTGAGACATGTGCACCACCAACCTGGTGAGACATGTGCACCACCAACCTGGTGAGACATGTGCACCACCAACCAGGTGAGACACACTTCGTCCCCACCTGCACTCACACACACCCATCTCTTCCCCCCGACCAACCCCAGGGTGACATGTGCACGTCAATCAACAGCATCCTTGACACCAACATAACACAGCTCAACCGTAACATTGACTGCTCACAACCTCTCGTCCCTGGAACGGTCAGATCGCACCCAAATCGCGCTCCAATCCCTTCCCTTCCCCCCCCCCCCCTTTTTTTTTTTTTTTTTTTTTTCCTGGGCTCTTTGCTCTTTAGTCCAGACACTTTTGTAGAAGCCACCATTACTTTGTCTTTTTACACCACATACTCCAGCAGATAGTTTTGCTGCCTTATTCCTTCAAATAGTCTAGAGATGAAGGTAAAGCTCTAGTTTGTCTCGCAATAGGGTTTCTAATGTCCTTAACTTCTTATGTCAGCTCGAGTTGCCTTAAACACTCAAAGCCGTGATACAGCTGACTGTTGAAGACATACCTTTCGCTCCAGGGAAAACGAACCTTGTTCAATCCCCTCTCCCTCCCGCTCCCCCGTTGCATCCCCATCCTCACTGCAGCGCATATGTGTGGAGAACAGCAGCAACACCCCCACCTTCCCCGTGGCAGCCTGTACGGATCACAAGGCTCTCGAGCCCGGCCTGCACACGTGCCAGCAGGTGGCGGCATTTGGCTACGGGTGGAGCAGCATGGGCTACTCCGAGACCTTCCGCATCAACCCCGCTCTCTACTGCGACCACCTGCTGCCCGGTGCTGCTGGGTGGGGCGACTCTGTGCTCGACTCGGTGAGTGATTTGTGATGACTTGCACCCGTGATTTGTTCTCGACTCGGTGAGTGATTTGTGATGACTTGCACCCGTGATTTGTTCTCGACTCGGTGAGTGATTTGTGATGACTTGCACCCGTGATTTGTTCTCGACTCGGTGAGTGATTTGTGATGACTTGCACCTGTGATTTGTTCTCGACTCGGTGAGTGATTTGTGATGACTTGCACCCGTGATTTGTTCTCGACTCGGTGAGTGATTTGTGATGACTTGCACCCGTGATTTGTTCTCGACTCGGTGAGTGATTTGTGATGACTTGCACCCGTGAGTTGTTCTCGACTCGGTGAGTGGGTCACAAATCTGTTGGAGTGACGCTCACATCAGCTGGGTGAGGCGACTCTGTGCTCGACTCGGTGAGCGCTTTTGAAATGCATGCGCAAGGTTGCAGTGAGCGCTTTTGAGCAGTATTTTCAGACAGTTTTCTTATCTTCCTGCCTCTCTCTTTCCATCGAATGCCACCCGGTGCTGTTGGCAAAACCTGCTGTGCTGCTTCTCTCCACATAGTGGGTGCTTACTCCACATGTACTGTACATGCTGCCTGTGCTTGTCTTTTGGAGCCATCCATCCAGTTCCCTTTGCAAGGCTGACATGGGCCTTGCAAGGCCAAGCTTGCAAGGCCCAGCTTGACCTTGACAGTGATCACCGTTGTCTAGTGATGGTTTTGGTGCTGATGTCACAATCTGGAGATTCTTTTACTCATAGGCTCAAGGCTGGATTTGATGGCAACAACTTCCTGACACTGCCCTCACACGGTGCGCATGGCATGCTCATTGCGTGTGTTAAGCCATCCTGTGACTTGACCCCCCGCCCACACCAGGTGTGTTTGCTAGTGGATGAGCAGCAGGGTTCCGGAGGACCTCAGTGCAATACCCGTCGGTTTTATTTCGTGAAGAGAGGAGACACATGCGGCAAGCTGATTGTGTCTCGGTACAGGAGGAAAATGAGCCTTTTCCGGTCACTCAATGGAGGGTATGACTGTACTGTGTCGTCACTGTGGGAGGGCATGCAGCTGTGCCTACCATAAGCTGGGGTGCTGACATTAAGGTTAATTTGTACAATAGTGGCGTTTTCACCCTGGTACCTGATACGTTGTGAGTACCCATACGTTGAACCAATTTATACATCACTATCACTATACATACTGTATCTCTCAAATATAGCAAGCGGAAGTGATGATTAGACTAGTAGGGCAAGATGTACAAGTAGGAACGTCGAGCTATATTGTGTACCCTATATTATGCAACTCGCTGAGTGTAGCACAGGGCGGTACAGGAAGAAAATGAACCTTTTCCGGTCACTCAATGGAGGGTATGACTGTACTGTGTCGTCACTGTGGGAGGGCATGCAGCTGTGCTTACCATAAGCTGAGGTGCTGACATTAAGGTTAATTTGTGCAATAGTGGCGTTTTCACCCTGGTACCTGATATGTAGTGAGTACCCATACGTTGAACCAATTTATACATCACTATCACTATGCATCCTGTATCTCTCAAAGATAGCAAGCGGAAGTGATGATTAGAGCGTGTAACTTTTTTGCATTTTGTGATTTTGACGTACCGTCCGATTATATGGAAACGGACGGTACGTTTGTAACGAAACGGACCGTCCGTTTGAATGTTTGCAACTTCGGACGGTACGAATGCATATGTGACACTTTTTCCACATGCTAGGGTGCTGCGATGGTATTCGTTTCGCCACCTCAAATGTACACTAGTAACGCCAGTCACAACCCGTCGCAATTTTCGCCTCTGGAGTCCAATGTTTTAGCGAGGCGGTCCGCTGAAATCCAAATTCGCCCGCCAATCGCGTGCGCGGACAAGCGGACAATCCGTTTGTGTTTCGTACCGTCCGTTGTCAGTGTTTCGTGTCGTTGGAAAGTGGAAAAAGTGTCATGACGGTTCGTTCTAGTAGCGACGTCGCAGACATCCAGGCGAACAACTGCACGACATTAAACGATTATGGTAACCCTTCGCATCGACGTACGGTCCACGGTTCGTTCCGTCGGGTTAAAAAAAGTTACACACTCTTAGACTAGTAGGGCAAGAGGTACAAGTAGGAACGTCGAGCTAAATTGTGTACCCTATATTATGCAACTCGCTGTAGTGTAGCACGGGGCTAATTTTTGGTTTTGAGCAACCCTAGTGATCAGTGTTGCACCTGCTCAAAAAATGATTATTTTTTTTGAAAGCGCAGCTGACTGTAGTGAATCAAGGCAACTGCAAATGCATGTTTCCCACGCAATGAGCATCAACGCAGCTGCAAATGCATCAAGTACATAACGAGGGTTGGAGGCCATTTGGCCTCCACCTACGTCTTCATTTTTAATTCACATTTATTTTTAGTATGGAAACAACGTCAGGACAAGTGCTGCAGCAGCAAAACTGCGAAGGGTGCAGCATCGCGCCCGCGATGCACTTGGCGTGCTCACAACCGAGAATAGGCTGCGAATGAAGCAACGGCCACTGGCGCATCAGTGACGAAATTGCCATGTCGGCCAGTGGCGTAAGATTTTGACGAAATCGTCACTTGCGCCACTGGCGCGCGTATCTGGCGAAATCGCCACTTGCGCCACTGGCGCGCGTGTGTGGCGAAAATTGCCACTTGCGCCACTGGTGCGCGTGTGTGGCGAAATCGCCACGTCCGCCACTGGCGCGCGTGTGTGGCAAAATCGCCACTTGCGCCAGTGGCCCGCGCATGTGGCAAAATCGCCACGGACGAAATGGCCAGTGGCGCGGCAGTCAAGAAACTGGCACTGCCGCGCCTAAGGCGTTGGACTGGGCGTCAACCACAAGTGCAGTCTCCCATGTCACCGCACAAATTGTTTAGCTGCATATAAATAGTTGCAAAGTTGTTTTCATTCTTTTCTTCTTTCCAATTCTAATTTCTTCTCTCATTGCCTAACGGGCACAAGATGGAAAGCCGATGATTTAATTCAGACTCTGTCAGAGTATTATAACTGATGCATGTTTGTAGGCTATAGTGGGGTAGCACATATGGGGTACAGCTTTCTAGGGTTGTATTTGTACCCAACTCTGACTTAGTCATTACATTCCTGTTCTCTTATCTTTCACATGGTATAGAGCGGGTCCTTCCTAAGGACCGTTTTTTTTTTAGGGCCCACCGAAGCGCGCCCCGAGGCGCGCATTTTTTTTTCGCGACCCTTCGGGTCGCCACTACTCTCGCGGCCCCGCTGTCCCTCTGACGCGGCCCCGCCACCCCTGCTTGACGCGGCCCCGCCGCCTCCTCTGCAGCGGCTCCGCCGCCTCCTCTGACGCGGCCCCGCCGCCCGCTGATCGCGGCCCCGCCGCCGGCTCTGACGCGGCCCCGCCGCCGGCTCTGACGCGGCCCCGCCGCCCGCTGATCGCGGCCCGCCGCTGGCCCTGACGCGGCCCCGCCGCCGGCTCTTAGCCGGCCTCGCCGCCGGCTCCAACGCGGCCCCGCCGCCCGCCTCGACGAGGCCCCGCCGCCGGCTCTGACGCGGCCCCGCCGCCGCCTCCTGATCGCGGCCCCGCCCCGGCTCTCTCGCGGCCTCGCCGCCGGCCCTGACGCGGCCCCGCCCCGGCTCTCACGCGGCCCCGCCGCCGACTCTCTTGCGGCCCCGCCGCCGGCTCTCTTGCGGCCCCGCCCCGGCTCTCTTACGGCCCCGCCGCCGGCCCTGACGCGGCCCCTGCCTCGGCTCTCAGGCGGCCCAGCCGCCCCGTCGCGGCCCGGTCGCCTCCTAACGGCCCCGCCGTCCCTTCGTGACGGCCCCGCCGTCCCTTCCTGCCGGCCCCGCCGTCCACTCCTGACGGCCCCGCCGTCCCCTCCTGACGGCTCCTGCCGTCCCCTTCTACCGGCCCCGCAACTGCACCTGCTGGCCCCGCCCTGCACCCGAGCCGCCCAGCAGCCGAGCCGCCCTGCCGCCGAGCTGCCGGGTCGCTGAGCTGCTGAGCTGCAGTTGCTGCCGAGCCGCCCTGCCGCCGAGCCGCCGAGTCGCCGAGCTGCTGAGCTGCAGTTGCTGCCGAGCCGCCTTGCCGCCGAGCCGCCCGCGTCGCCCGAGCCGCAGAGCCGCCGAGCTGCCGAGCCGCTGAGTCGCCGAGCCTACTCTTTCCACCACTGGTGAGCTCTTGCCCTGCTAGCACACTGCGCGTCGCCTGCTTGCCTGCCTGCCTGCCTTTTGGCTTACCTGGCTGCCTGCCTTCCTGCTGCTAGTCCTGCTCCTGCTTCTACTTGCGGAGCCAGATGCAGCCCCAGCGACGCCTGCGTGAGTCCCTCACGCCCCAGCAGCTGCGTGAGTGGTACGCTGGTTGGGGCTGTAGGGGTGGCGGCACTACTCCTACTACCACTCCTGCTGCTTCTACTCGTGGTGGCGGCCAGATGCAGCTCCCGCGACCCTCTCGCGTGTCTCTCACACTCGCCAGCTTCGTGAGTGGTACGCTCAGAGTGGAGGGTCTCTCAGTGCTATTCGCTGCTCTTACGTGATTCGCACTGGTACTCAGACTGGTCAGCCTTGTGGGACACCTAGTCATACACAGTCCCGCTGCTTCGCCCGTCTGAGCCACGCCTGGCGTACCGTGTTTGGCGACGAGGCTGAGCTTCCCGACTGGGTGGAGTTGCTTAGGCAGAGGGTAGATATATTTGCTCTTGACTATGATGCTATACTCACTGCCATGTATGCATTGCCTACTAGTGCTGACCGTGCCGGTCACCTGTGCGTCCCGCCTGACCCAGGTATAGGACCTGCTGCCCTAGCTACTGGTGAGGCTGCTGCTCTGGGTGCTAGTGAGTCTCCTGCTCCAGGTACAGGTGCGGCTGCTGCTCTAGGTGCTAGTGAGTCTGCTTCCTCAGGTGCGGGTGAGGCTGCGCTCTCAGGTACCGCGTTGGCTTCGGCCTCCCTCACCTTTACACTTGACTCTGGGGCTTCTCGCTCCTTCTTTCGGGACCGCACCACACTCACGCCGCTTGGTCGACCGGTTGCAGTCTCCCTGGCTGACCCC